GATACTGCCAGTCATTTTCAGAAGTTATAACACTTTATATTTTTGGCTGACTGTGCCACAAAGAGAAAGTAATTCCTCTGTTTCTAGACTCCTCTGCTATTAAGCTCAATTCAGACATGAAAATCACACTTGCTCACATTTGCACTATAGAACAGCTTTCACATAAAATCACTCTGAAATTAGTCATCTGGAAAAATACAAAGTATGTCTGTGTGTGTATGGGGCAAAGTTAATGCCTTATCTACCATCAGTCCTGTGAAACTTCCACTCTACTGGGTACTTCTAGAAGCAGCTCAGTCTTTCGTCTCATTAATTTTGTAGACTACCACTAACAGGACACCTACATGCACGTTTCTCCCGATTCATCAGCCATCCAGCAAGGCCTCTGTATCACTAACAAGAGATCCATGTATTTATGGACTATCTTTCAGCTTTCCCTAGCTGAAACACTAAAGGCAACCTTATGTAGTTGGTTTACTTCAATATTATTGTTGTCATTCCATTCCCAAAATCAAATGAGACACCCACACGGGTCTGTCTCCTGAATTTAGAGCTCTTGCAAAGGGCTGCCCAAGACCCAATGTAGAAATTATCATCATGATGTCACCTTAACTTTTGATTTTTAAGCCACTACATGTGTTTTGCTTGTAAGATAGAGCTAGCTACTAGAAAAGGACATTTTCCTCCTATATGACCACAGCAGTACCCTAGCAATAAAAGACAGGATGCACATGGTAGAAAATATGTATGTATACACACACACACACACACACACATATATGAACCCAAGTATGTGTGCCCTACCAAAAACCCAAAACCCTCACCTTTGCTCTGAGGAGGGTTTTGGCTCCTATCCCTCAGGACGTTGATTTCATAGACAGCACCATACTGTTCAAAGAGTTCCCTCAAGTCTTTCTCAGACCAGGTCCTTGGAACCTGGCCCACAAACATCTTGATAGCATCAAGATCTGGTTGGTCTGGGTGGTCCAGGGTGCCGTTCATCTTCTTTGAGCTGCGTGGGATAAAATGAAACTTCTTTACGCGTTCATGTTGTTTGCCAGAGGGAGTTTTCCTTTTTTTAAATATCTCAACTACTTCCTGAAAAAATAGGATTTTTTTTTTTTCATTTCCTTAATAATAAACTCATATACACTTAAGACAGAGGAGCACTGTGAGGGGACAAGAACCTGAATGGTACCCTTTCTACATCTCCATTAATCATATTGGTTCAAGGAAAAACTATGATTCCCTGCTCACCCACTATTTTATGCCTGGGGTGGAGAAAGGAAAGAGAGGAAACATCCCAGGGCATCATACTTCCCACCTATACAAGCACCTTTACAGAGAAAGTCATTCCCCCAGATGGACTTTTTATTAATTCTCTTTCACTACTTCCATTCAATTTGCTAGATGTCCCTGGTCCTCCCTTCACCATGGACACCTCTTCCATTAGAGCCCAAATTAAAGTCACCATTCTGATTAGGAACTAACACTCACTCCTTGCCTAACATGAGAATTCTCAAAGGCACTTAAGAGGAAAAGTCCCTAAAGCAAGATTAAGTTTTAATAATTTTTATGCATAAGTAGCAAAACAGAAGTGTTTTATTATTATTAATTACAATAAAAATCACAAAGAATTATTTATTAGGGATAAAATTCAGGTTACATCAATGTATAAAATGACTGATGTTAGAACAGAACCACTTGATAAGCTAACAACTGACCAAAATGCTAGCTAGCCCTTGAATGATCATGCTATCTCCTGAGTAATCCTAGTGATCCAGTTGGTCCCCAGAACAAAACAAAGCTTTGCCTCTTAAACGTCCACAAATGATTGTGGTAAACATAAAGAATGTTGCTACCATTCTAGGTCCTTTTTTTTTTTTTTAATTATCCAATCATTGCCTCCTCTTGATTACTTTACCAGTTAAGATCCCTTGTTAACTGCAAATTCCGTTATAATGTCCACAAATCCCTCCACACCAAAGTTTTAATGTTCTTATTTCAATACCTTCATTCCTACCCGATAGGGGGATTGTTACACGATAAATGTTTCCATTCAGAATCTATTTCAAAATCCTTACCCACCACTGTTTCAAGATCTTATTTTTCAACAACATAAATGATGGCTATACATATGGACCTCACCAAATGGAATACAAAGGAATGAGATCGATTACATCTGTGGAAAGAGGTAATGGAAAAGTTCAGTATCTTTAGTCAAAAACAAGTCGAGCCACTGACTATGGAACAATCAACTGCTCCTATACAAGTTCAAGGTGAAGCTGAAGAAAAGTGAAAGAAGTCCATGAGAACCAAAATACAACCTTGAGTATACCTCACCTACATTTAGAGACCTTCTGAAGAACAGATTTGACACAGTGAACACCAATGATTGAAAATCAGACGAGTTGTGGGATGACATCAAGAACATCATACATGAAGAAAGCAAATGGTCATTAAAAAGGCAAGAAAGGAAGTGTGATAGTTTAAGATGTGTGTCAACTTGGCTGGACCTGGTTTTGAGTGGCTGGGCAGCTGGATGTAGTTATTCCCCATGATGAGATTGGCAATCAACTACATGGTGGAATCTATTGGAGCAGCTAAGTAGCTCCCTTAGGGATATAGTCTACTTCCAGTATGTAAGAAGCTTTGAGAAAGGTCTCTGCAGCTTTTTTGCACACTTGGATCCTGCATGTAGCTAAATCTTCATTCAGTAGCCCACCATGTTTCCTGCCAATAATATCAGGACTGTCTCTGGACTTGAACTAGTGGCCTGCATGTCATTTGCTAATCTTGAGACTGTGCCATTTCATTTGTCAACCTTGGGTTTGTCAGCCTCAGCAATGAGCAGCTGCCTGAGTTAAGAGAAGCCTCCAGCTTCAGTGGGCTGGGAGCAAGAGGCAGAGCTGAAGCCCAAGGTCGAGGGCTTTCATCCAACGCCTAGAGCTGGCACTTTGAACTCAGACTTCTAGCTTCCTAAACAGTGAAGAGAATACACCTCTGTTTGTTAAAGCTGCCCATTTGTGGTATTTTCTCTTAGAGTGGCACTGGAGAACCAAAACAGGAAGAAAAGACCACAATGGATATCAGAAGAGACTCAAAATCTTGTTCTTGAATGTAGAGTAGCTAAAGTGAGTGGAAGAAATGACAAGAGCTAAACAGAAAATTTCAAGGGGCAGCTAAAAAAAAAAAA